AAATTAATCTATTCCTTCCAATTTTACAATATTCCAATCTGTAGCATTTTTTTAAGGGAACATTATCAACATTCAACTTATCATGAAAAAATTTAACAAAGAATCCTTAATTTGGATCTTATCTTCCTGATCTGACTCAGGAAAACCTGAAATAACCATGTTATTACGTCTTATAAAACATTCATAACACTCCATAATTAGACTAATTTCTGAGATCTGCAGTTGCAAATTCACTTGTTCTGCAGTTGAAGCCAAATCATCCTCCTGTATCAACTTCTTTTCCAATAGCTCTGGTCTAGATTCAAATCCCACAATCACCTCATCCAAGTTCTCCACCCATGAGAATATCCTATCCACTTTTGCAATCATTTTCTCTAACTTGACACTTTGATTTAAATTTAATTGAATTAATAATGAGATTGTTTCATCTTTCACATCAAGATCTCCCTGTAACAAATTCACAATTTTTGTCTTCTCTAATATATCTGTGTGAAAAACTTTTGTCCTACTCCATCTGGCCTACTGACAAATATGTATTCCTCTTTAACATATTAAATCAATATTGATTATCTTACCTGTAACAGAAAACAAAAATCATAATTAGTTAAATTGCATCAAAATTGTCAACAAAATTCACTGCCCACTTAGTATTTAATTTATAATAGTAGTAGTAATATAGCCTGATATAATTAAGCATTCATTTGACATTAGTTTGTATTCATAATAAAAATAACATTTCACAATGATGATGATGATAATTTTATTTTCCTATAATAGAATATTCTGTGATTATTTAATTTAAAATTTGGATCTATACAAAGTAAAAGTGGAATCATTATTATATGTGCTTATATTATAATAATGGATTATAATTATGCTTATATAATTATGGATTGTATAATTAACTAACTTGTGCAACATTGGCATCATAATATATAGTGTAAACAATAAAACTTCTTAGTTCAGAAAGCTAAATATTTTTATTAGAAATGTTTTTGATTTCCTTTCAGATCATCATCAACTTACATAACTGCATTCAAACCAAGAACTTGCTTTAAAAACTTAAAATTATTCTGTCTCAAGATTACTTTCATAAAAATATATTTTTATTACATTTAATATTTTCATGTAAGCTGATTTATCTAAGAAATTTACTGTAATGGCATATATCAATTCGTTTATTCAGTTTTATATTATACATTTTCAGAATGTTTATTCCTTTTTACATCATTCTGAATGGAACAAACAAATATAAAATAATAGAATTTGAATTATAAGTTAAAGATAAAATTTTAATAACAACTTATTATTAGGTTGTTCGGAAAGTAATTTAGTTTTTTTTACCACTAGAGGGATTAGTCGTATTTTTCCGCCATTTTCATTCTAAACCATATTATCATTATATATTTTGACAGCTAGCATTTTAAGGCTTATTTGTAAAAAATTTTGTTGGATTTTGTGCAATTGTTTATTTTATGTGTTCCATCAAATATGGAAGATCAAAAGCAGCATTTTCAGCATATTTTGCTCTTTTATTACCAAAAAGGTAAGAATGATGTTCAAGCAAGAAAAAATTGTGTGGTGTGTATGGAGAAGATGTATTGACAGAACGACAATGCCAAAACTAGTTTACAAAATTTTGTTCTGGCAATTTCGATATTGAAGATGCACCATGTTCTGGAAGGCCAGTTAAAGCTGATGAAGATAAAATAAAGGCATTGATTGAAGCAAACTGCCAAATAACAAGAGAAATCGCTAACAGATTAAATTTGTCCAATTCAACCATTTATGACCACTTGAAACATCTTGGTTTTGTTTCAAAGCTTGATATATGGGTTCCACATGCTCTTAAAGAAAGGGATTTGCTCCATTGCATTAACATCTGTGATTTGCTTCTCAAACGTCAAGAAAATGATCCTTTTTTGAAGCGAATCATAACTGGCAACAAGAAATGGATTGTATACAACAGTGTTGAACGCAAGTGATCATGGAGTAGAAAATATGAGCTAGTTCAAAGCATTTCAAAAGCTGATATTCATCAAAAAAAAAAGTGATGCTCTCTGTTTGATGGGATTTTAAGGGAATTGTTTTTTTGAGCTTCTACCAGACAATTCCACAATTGATTCGAAAGTCTACTGCCGTCAACTAGACAAATTGAGTGATATTATCAAACAGAAAAGACTAGAATTGATTAACAGAAAAGGTGTAGTGTTTCACCATGATAATGTCAGACCTCACACAAGTTTGCTAACTCGTCAGAAGCTGTTACAACTTGGATGGGATGTGCTACCACACCCACCATATTCACCAGATCTGGCACCCTCGGATTATTACTTATTCCGATCTTTACAAAATTTTTTAAATGGTAAAACATTTACTTCAAATGAGGATGTCAAAAATCACTTGAATCAGTTTTTTGCAAGCAAAGGTCAGAAATTTTATGAGCATGGAATCATTCTACTACCAGAAAGATGGCAAAAGGTATTGGACCAAAATGGTCAATATGTAATTGAATAAAATATTTATATATTATAAGAAAGTTGTTTTCTTTTTCATGAAAAAACCGAAATTACTTTCCAAACAACCCAATAGTTACTAAGATCATTGTTTTTATTAACCTCTCCAAATCCAACCTTACCAATCCTCCATTCCCTCAAAGACCAAGCCATGCCATACATAAACAGCTAGTTACCTTCTTTGCATTTCCTAAACTACAAGTTCATTCCCATTAACTTGTCAATAGTGTTTAANTATTTTTCCGCCATTTTCATTCTAAACCATATTATCATTATATATTTTGACAGCTAGCATTTTAAGGCTTATTTGTAAAAAATTTTGTTGGATTTTGTGCAATTGTTTATTTTATGTGTTCCATCAAATATGGAAGATCAAAAGCAGCATTTTCAGCATATTTTGCTCTTTTATTACCAAAAAGGTAAGAATGATGTTCAAGCAAGAAAAAATTGTGTGGTGTGTATGGAGAAGATGTATTGACAGAACGACAATGCCAAAACTAGTTTACAAAATTTTGTTCTGGCAATTTCGATATTGAAGATGCACCATGTTCTGGAAGGCCAGTTAAAGCTGATGAAGATAAAATAAAGGCATTGATTGAAGCAAACTGCCAAATAACAAGAGAAATCGCTAACAGATTAAATTTGTCCAATTCAACCATTTATGACCACTTGAAACATCTTGGTTTTGTTTCAAAGCTTGATATATGGGTTCCACATGCTCTTAAAGAAAGGGATTTGCTCCATTGCATTAACATCTGTGATTTGCTTCTCAAACGTCAAGAAAATGATCCTTTTTTGAAGCGAATCATAACTGGCAACAAGAAATGGATTGTATACAACAGTGTTGAACGCAAGTGATCATGGAGTAGAAAATATGAGCTAGTTCAAAGCATTTCAAAAGCTGATATTCATCAAAAAAAAAAGTGATGCTCTCTGTTTGATGGGATTTTAAGGGAATTGTTTTTTTGAGCTTCTACCAGACAATTCCACAATTGATTCGAAAGTCTACTGCCGTCAACTAGACAAATTGAGTGATATTATCAAACAGAAAAGACTAGAATTGATTAACAGAAAAGGTGTAGTGTTTCACCATGATAATGTCAGACCTCACACAAGTTTGCTAACTCGTCAGAAGCTGTTACAACTTGGATGGGATGTGCTACCACACCCACCATATTCACCAGATCTGGCACCCTCGGATTATTACTTATTCCGATCTTTACAAAATTTTTTAAATGGTAAAACATTTACTTCAAATGAGGATGTCAAAAATCACTTGAATCAGTTTTTTGCAAGCAAAGGTCAGAAATTTTATGAGCATGGAATCATTCTACTACCAGAAAGATGGCAAAAGGTATTGGACCAAAATGGTCAATATGTAATTGAATAAAATATTTATATATTATAAGAAAGTTGTTTTCTTTTTCATGAAAAAACCGAAATTACTTTCCAAACAACCCAATAGAAAACAATAATTTACAAGCAGCATTTCCTTTTTTTGCATTAGTTTTTGATCTAGAATTATTGAGATTACCATTTCTATATTAACACACAAAATTTAATAATTGTAAGATTTACAATGCCAAAAGCCTAAAGATTCCTTGTTTTTATTGTTATTTTGACATATTTTCCTATTTAAGAAATTTAAATAGTAATATTTTGAAAAAATGTTTTAAGATAATTCTACTGTTTGTGAATTACTATATCTCAATATCTTGTTTATATATATAAGTAATTATGAAGTAAAGCACAATAGATCATTAATTATCCAAAATAATTGGGGCAGGAAATTTTAAATAATTAGTCTTGATAGGAGAAAAAATGAAAAGATAAATTAAGTAAAAATATTGATCTTAATTCTAATATAATAGTAAAAAACAGTTAAGACAGAAATTTAATACATATGAATGATAAGAAGTAATGAAAAATTTGACTAATTCATTAAAAAAAGCACAATCTTTTCTTGAAATCTACAACATACTAATGCAACTTTGAATTCAAAATAATAAATTATTTAATAGTAAAATTACTAGTAATGAATATCTTAATAGTGGAACTATAGAAGATCAACAATTGTTATTATGTAAAAACTGTAATTTCTGGAATTAATACTCTCTGAAGTTGATTTTGGTTAATCAGTTTTTTAGATAATTGACACTCTATTAAGTGTGTTTATATATAATGCATTAATAGTAATAAGACTTTATGATACACAGTATCTAAGAGATAGCAAGATACATCATTTTTTTTGGAGGATAAATAGACAAGATGACAGTTCTGTTAAAGAAATTTTTAGTTTCTATATTATAAAAATCATTTATCATTTTGTGTGATATTTTTTAAAATAATTGAATAAATATGCATTTGTTCTAATGTCAAATAAATAACATAGTATCGCATATACTTAAAATTAGACAGAACTCTGCTATAAGTATATAAGAATTGTATATCTATACCGATCTTTTATGAATTATTCTCCTTAAACTATTTAAATATACTTTTATGAAATTTATAAATACCATATGATAATTGTTTGTTAAGAATATAGATATTATTTTTTATTGTTCAGAACAAATTGGAGCTGAAATTTTAAATGATCTGCATTCTCAAAGAGAAACAATTCAAAAAGCAAGACAAAAGGTTTGTTTATTTTTTATAGCCTATAAGCAATAAACTGTACTATATTAATAACTACTGTTTAAAATTTTGTAGTTAAGAGAAACAGATGATGACTTAGGAAAAAGTTCAAGAATTTTAACTGGAATGATAAGAAGGTAAAGAAATTTTATTGATTAATTGTAATAATATGAAAATATTTATACATGTTGATTATTTTTAGGGTCATCCAGAATCGTGTAATCCTGTTTGTAGTGGGAAGTATTATATTGTGTGTTATAGTAACAGCAATTTATTTTATGGTTAAAAGAAGTTGAATGTCCAGATATCTTATCTAAAACTCTTATATTCCATAATAATAATTTACTGATGTAAAGATGCAAATATCAAATGTGACAACTTTGTCAATTGTTAACTGTCCAAAGTTAATAATTCTTAATAACATTCAGGAAGCAAATTTGAATATTATAAATATAAATG